ACCAGTCTGCCTGGGCTTGTCTGCTGATATGAAACTAACTGCTTGTGTTTGCCTGTAACTCTCCTGCCGTGTACTTTACTTGGAAGAACCACCTGTTGGTATTGTACATTGTTCATCTATTTTTATCTATATGAAGAAGTTAATGAATTCTGCTACATCAGTTATCTGTCTGTGCTTCTGGATTTGAATTTATGCAACAAACTCTGACACCCTCTTGGTTTTGAACTGTATATTTTTTAACTCTGTAAAGAGAAGCAGGATCATCAGTTTTCCAGATTGGCTATTCACATTCCCGGTTCTCAGTTTAAACTAATACAATCCTGGGTTGTATAAACAGAAGCATAGAATCAAGATCATGTGGCAGTATTAGTGCCGCTCTATAAAACCTTAGTAAGGCCACACCTGGAATACTGCAACCAAAAAAGATGTGGAGACTTTGGAAAAAGTTCAGAGAAGAGCAACTAAGATGATCGAAGGCCTGGAAACTAGACGTATGAAGAATGGCTGCAGGTTTTGGGTCTGGCTAGTCTAAAGAAAAGAAGAATTAGGGGCAACATGATAGCACTATTCGAGTATTTGAGAGGTTGCCACAAAGAGGAGGGGATCAACTCATTCTCCAAAGCACCTGAAGGCAGGACAAAAAATGATGGCTTGAAATTAATCAGAGAGAAGCAACCTGGAATTAAAAAGAAACTTCCTAAGAGTGAGGACAATTAACCAGTGGAACAGCTTGACACCAGAAATCGTGGGCATTCCATCACTGGATGTTTTTAAGAAAAAACTAGACAGCCACTTTGTATGTGAAATACTAGAAGTTATTCTGCTTGAGCACGAGGGCTGGACTAGAAGACCCCCCCAAGGTCCCTTCCAGCTCTATTCTATTTTTCTCTTCTCTTTTTCCTGAATCAAGCCAGAGAAACTAATGAAAGAGGAAGATGGGCAAAAAGAAAAAAGAAAAGACAGAAAAATTAACTGCAGAGTTAGACAGAAGCCCTAAGACGGCCACTTCCTTTCTTCCTTTTTCGCTTTGGTTTTATATGATAACACCTTAAGTTGAATAGTGACTCAGTTGTGATCAGCTGCCTAAAATTTAATTACAGTGCTCAAAAGAGTCTCCTGACATGTGTAACATCTGAAGTCCTAATTTCAGAAGGATTCTGTAGAGTTAAGTCTTGTATGATCATTATCACATACTCACAGGATGTTAAACAAAGTACAGATCACCCTCAACTAATAATCATTCATTTAGTGATTGGAAGTTACAATGGTACTGAAAAAAAGAGGACTTAAGACCGGCCCTCACACTTATAACCAGGGCAGCATCCCCACGTGATTAAGCTACGTTAATGAGGGTATCTGGATTTGCTTAATTTCAGTGGTCTGCTTAACAACCGTGGCAAACAAAGTCATAAAATCAGTTGTGATTCACTTAACAACTGCCTTGCTTAGCAACAGAAATTCTAGTCATAAGTCAAGGGCTACCTATAATTACTAGTTAGTGGTTAACTTAGGATTCTAAGCACTGATCTAGTATCTTGTAATGTAGGAGACAATCAGGCCGAGCCTGAGGGAGGGGTCAAATACATAATCAGTCTGGAGTCCCTACAACCCCTTAAGAGAGTCCAGCCTTCCCCCCATCCCTTGAAATTTCTTGACTCTTATCTGACACCTATTTGCCTCGACTGTTAGTATCGTGTTTCCTCAAAAATAAGACAGGGTCTTATTTTCTTTTGACCCCCAAAATAAGCGCTTGGCCTTATTTTTGGGGAGGTCTTATTATTTTTTAGGTGCAGGAGGCAGCAAGCGTGGTCACCTCATGGCTACTGCTGTGTTTAAATATTTTCGGGGAGCACTTATTTTCAGGGGACAGCTTATTTTAGCGCATGTGCTCAAAAGCCCTGGGCATATTATCCGGGGAGGTCTTACTTTCAGGGAAACAGGGTAGTTCAGATTCTTGTGGACAGGTAGCATGAAATAAACTTGCAGTAAGTCTATTCTGTTTCCTGACTTCCTGCACCTGACACACTCTCCACAGAAGACTCTCTTGCAATATAGAAGAACAGCTATTAATTTATTTCCAGGACATTAATTTATCGATGTTAGGCAGCTTCCCACTTCATGAAGATCTAATGTACTATTTACAGTATACTGAAACAATCCTAAATCCTGTGACTCAAAGCAACAAGAAAATTGATCAGCAGAAAATGAAGCATTAAACTCTTAACTTCACACTATCGTTTTCAGTCAACAATCAATAGACCTACATAACTAGATATACAATGTTTTTTTTTTCCATAACAACATTAAAGCTGGATTTTTCTTACAGCTATTTCTCCTATATGATAGCTCCCAGACCTCGATTGTGAAATTAATCCACATGAAAACAATCAGCATGTGATATCCGTACTGGCTTTTAATACCAAAATTCAGTTAAACTATTTTCAATAATAGAATAGAATAAGAGTTGGAAGTGACCTTGGAGGTCTTCTAGTCCAACCCCTTGCTCAGGGAGGAAACTCTACACCACTTCAGACAAATGATTATCCAACATCTTCTTAAAAACCTCCAGTTGGAACATTCACAACTTCTGGAGGCAAGTTGTTCCACTGATTAATTGTTCTAACTGTTAGGAAATCTCTCCTTAGTTCTAAATTGCTTCTCTCCTTGATAATATTTGCTTGCAATTCATTTCTCACAAAAGCTCACTCAGTCTTTTTTCTCTCTTTGAGAAAGGCATGAAGTCAGCAAAACCCTTTTTTAAAATCATCATCATCATCATCATCATCATCATCATCATCATCATCATCAGATATCCTACCTGATACAGAGACGGTATGTGATCGTATTCCTTGCTTTTCGTTGTTGGCCAGCCTGTAACACAATAGTTCAAATCTATGAATGCTCTATGTTTTATACCAGTGTTTCTCAACTTTGATAACTTGAAGACATGAGGACTTCACCTCCCAGGATTCCTCACCCAGCATGGCTCATTGGGGAATTCTGGGAACTGGAGTCCTCATATCTTCAGGTTGCCAAGGTTGAGGAAAAACACTGTTCTGTACAGTTCAAAACTTTGTAGGGTTCAGTTACCAGATTCACTGTCTCTTCTACAGAACTAGATTTTGCAGTGAAGAAAATGATTCTACTTCCTTAAATTCAGCTCAGAACCAAAAGTACAAGTATTCATCTGAAAATTCCATTTTAAACTCCACCAGATGTTCAAAATGACAATGTTAAAAGCTGAATGAACAAACAACTTTGTAGTTTTCAATTTCTTCTAATTATCTACTATCTAGCAACAACAATTTGAATTGCATCCATCACTTACGTTAAAAAGGAATAAAACAACTGTCTTTAATTTAAGCATGTTATCTGGAAGCTTTATATTCTGAGCTAAATGAAGAGAAGTTATCCATTTTAAAGATGGTTTTAGTACTGGAAAGAACAATTTAGCAAACTTTTAAGGCAATTTCATTGTTTAAAAATTCTTGTTTGTAGACATAGGGTGTTACAAGCGAAAATATTCATATTTTAATAGATTATGGATATATTGTAATATATGTATTGTAAGTAGGCCACTATTAATTTGACAAAAATGTAATATGCAAAAATCATGCTATACATCTGTAATCAGACTGCAGAAAAGCACAACATTTAGCTGAAACGATGATGGATGGATGGATGGATGGATGGATGGATGGATGGATGGATGGATGGATGGATGGATGGATGGATGTACATCTATAAGATAGATCACAGGTATGAGCATTGATCATATTTTAATGTATTCATTGTATGGACTTCTCTTATACTCTGCAGAACCATTTGGATTTAAAAAGTAAATATAGTATTACCTCCTCTATAGAATTGGTTCTCTTGGGTTCTGAAGCAAAAGGCATTATCAAGTTATGCTACCAAAATCCATTTAGCAATTAGAAACTGAGGTCTGTATGCAAAGTTCTCTGTGTACAAAGTCTTCATTCTCACCCTGAACTATGTATGGGTCTTCCCTTATGGTCAACATTTGCAATTGGTTACATTTGGGGACTTGAGAGTATAAATCAAAATTATAATGTAGTCAGTTTTAATGCTTTAAGCTTCCAACAAAAACATTCAAACTTACTTTGGTATGGATGGTAAAGCTCTTTCGCCTTCTAAATGAAGAGAAAAAACAAGTTTATTGCAACATATCAATAAATATATACACAAGTATTTTGCTTAAAAGTAGAACCCACTAACTTAAGCTAATTGTATTTGATACCTCCTTACAATGGTTTTGTGATCATTTATACAAAACTTCTTATGAAGAATGATATATTATTAAAGCACCACCATGGCTTAAAACTGAAAATGAGCAAAATGTGTTATATTTTCAGAAAATTAAAACTATAGAGGAAGTATTGGGCATTCTAAAGAACCTAAATTTATGTTCTGTAGAAACAGACTATTTCTTTTTCTCATTGCCATGCTATTTCTCAAAAGACATGTAGAACCAATACATCGGAAGACAGGGAAATGCAAATAAAATATTTGGGGGGGGGGAGCTAGTAACAAGCATTCAGTACAAATCATGGCTCCTTGAGTCACAGCCACCTCTTTGGTCTCAGTGAAGCCAAAATAAATTTTCAGAAATGACAAAACATGTATGATGGCACTAATCCCCCCCCCCCATGTAAATGAGCATATTTGGGAGGTTATTGTTCTGCTGCATACTTATTTTTAAAAAAATTCCATGTAAAATTGTCAATAAGCAATCTAACATTATTTTGTCAAATTTAAAATAAAATCAAAGTTATTAGCGAAAGTATGTTTTATATGAGGTAAATGGTATCCTGGTGGAAGTCACTATCCACTCTGGTATAATAGTTAGTAAAGAGTGCAAGATTTCTCACTTTTGGGGAAGAAATGGGGAACTAAAGATGACTCCGTTAAAAGCAGGGCCAATGACAGTGGCAGAATGAAGAGCTGTCAGTAGACAGGTTCTTCATAATTCCTCTCTGGGTAAGGAGAAGACCTGAGATCACCCACAAGTGCTCCAGCCAACTACTCTTCACAAGAATATGGCAAGGCACAGGCTGGGAGAGATAAGGGAACAGTCATCTTTGTGTTTCTTCTTATATTAGACTAGATGATAACCCGGTGTTGTCCGGGTATTTATTTATAGGAAAAAATGTAATTTCTAATGTTGGATTTTCCCCCTTATCAGAGGGAGCCCCCTTGTGGAGTACTGTGAAGCAGTTACCATGGCAACTCCAATGCACTGTACAGGAGCGCAGTAGACGCCAATACAACAGTATGGCACAACAGGCTGTATCTTAACAGAATACACACCGCAAGGGTTGTTAGGGGGTGTCTTATGCCCACAGTATTTTTCTCCAGAGAGTAAGTCATCTGTATATCAAGTTTGGTTGAAATTGCTCGAGGCATTCCAGTTATGCTGGAACACACACAGACACACAGACACACAGACACACATACAGACACAGCCATTTTTATATAGAGAGATTTACAAAAGAGATTTATTTAAAGCTTTGGAGAATTTTGTGGAAGGCGCAAAGAAAAAAAGTGAAAAGAAATCAAGTTCTAGCACATTATTTGAAGGGACTTAAATGAAGATTGATAAAAATCAAAGGAATATAAACCTGGTTTATTTGAACAAGGTTAAAATAAATATGTTACTATCTCTGGTTACCTTTAATGGACTTGTGCTGATCAGGACTAAAATGGCAAGGCTTTAAGGATTTCGTTATAGATAAGAGATGGAATATGGGAAAAAGAGATCATTTCTTATATTTTAAGAGAAGCTGATAAATTACTAAAATTGTTTATAGTTATTGTGATGAGTCATTTTTTTATATCTTTTTTCTTTATTCTTTTCCTTTCCTATTTTTCCTGCATTTTTTATTTTTTTCCTTTTAATGTCTTTATTGTATTGGTTTGTATTAGTTTTTATTTTTACAGCCATAATTTTTAAGACTGGATTTCTAATGACAGGACTAACATGCCAATCTTTTTTTAATTACTGGGCAATTTGGAACAATCATCCTAATTCCTTCCCCATGGTTTCTGTGAAAGGATGAGGGACAGAAGAATCAGGTAGGCTTCACTAACTCTTTGGAGGAGGAGATTAAAATATAAACATAAACAAAATTATATCTGAGCAGTTAACGTCAATGTCAAGAGGAGAATTTCCTAGTGAATTACATATCCATACAAAACTATGAACTAAACAGAGGTAGGCAAGTTATATTATAGGCAGGAAAAAAAAGAGAATTGAGGGCACCAATTGTTATTCAATTAATGAGTGACCCGTAAGTGTTTTACATTTACAGAATTACGGTATTACCGTAACTACTAGAATAGCTGTTTTAGTTTGTCTTTATATAGTCTCTTGCGGAAATTGTATGTATTTTATCTAGTAATATTGTAAGGGGAGAGCTGTATTAGTCAACAATCAGGGCTCTGGTCACAGTTTTTCAGTCTATCGAATTTTATTTTAAAAAACCCATAAGCATCTGAGGAAGCAAGCTGTACTTCAGGAAAGTGCATACCTTTTAATAACATTTGAAAATCTGAAAACACATTACCAGAATCCTTCTGACTTCCTCCTAATATGTCTGATCACGTACAGAGATGCTGCCACTGATTTATTCACAATTATAGCACATCCCAGCAAACAGCCACGACAGAGACACTTAACAAAAAACGTTTCCTCTTACCTTTCTGGGGTCGGATGATAAAAGACTGTGTCGCCCCCGTGACCAGTCGGCAATAGCCATCTATCAAGTCAGCCATGTTCTCTGCAATGGTTAAGGTTGGTGCCGTCACTGTCAGAGGCTACAAGAGGGAAAAAATAGCACACTGAAACAAAGAGGCCTTATTGCAGGCACAAACATTTAGTACAGCTGCTGAACTATTACATCAGAGAAGAGCATGCAAATGAGAAGCAGTAAAGAGAGAAAAAAAAAGGATTTGGATGGCTGAAAAAAATGGCCAGTTCTTATACCTTCAAATCCTCCATCTGGAGGAACTCCCCAAGAGCACATAACGTGTGAAAAGTGTGGTCATCGAGATCGGTGCCGATTCTATCAGAAGCATAATCATTTTGTTCAGGGAACAGAACAACCATTCCGGATATATGTGAGGAGCGGGCTTCTATGCGCGGATGCATCCATAGACCCTACACATTTCAAAATTAATCTTAATGTATCCCACAAGTTACCAATTCTACTTTTTGTTCTTCCAGATTTCAACAATCACCTCAAAGTGGTTGACATCAAAATTTAAAAGCCGCCTAAAAATAAGAAAACCAAACAAATGAAAGTAACAAATGCCACTGCCTTCTGGGGCATTCAATTTTCAGTTGCTTACTAGGGCCCAGAAATCCTGTTTTATCTAATCCAGAAAAGGGCTGCCCAACAATATGGAGGTTGCAACTCAAACGCACTGCCTGCCCAGCCGCACATCTCACAGGCCTAGAACCAGGTATAGTCTAGGTCACAGCCTAGTTCCCATATATCATTCTTTTCTACCTTTTCTCTGCCATTTTTATTCACTTAATGATTATATCAGGCATAAAGCTACATTAGGCAAATGAACCTCCAAATCCCACTGGTTTCATTATATTACTAGATAAACGCATGGGAGAGCAAGCCCATCAGGACTAGATTCAGCAGTGCATCTGGATTTAAAAGATACAGGCCACTCTTTCGAAGACAGCAAAGTCCACATTTTGGACAGAGAGGCTCGCTGGTTTGAAAGAGGGATCAAAGGGGCCATCTATGTCAAAATTGAACAGCCCTCTCTCAACAGAGGGAGCGGGATACGACATCATCTATCTCCAGTCTACAACACAGTCCTTCAAAAGTTCCAAGAAGGCTCCACACACCCTTTTGCACCACTCAGGTGACACTGAGAACACAGATAAACCTCCAGATGGCATCAACAACTCTCTAAAACAGGGTTGTCAAACTGGATTTCCTCGAGCGCCGGATCAGCATTGTACTTCTCCACGGGTTGGGGTGGGGGTGGGGGGGACAGGACGGATGCTTCTTGCAGCACCCTGCCAGCCAAAACGGGGGCTGGTCATTTGCTATTTCCAGGCCGGCCCCACAGGCCAGATTTGAGCACCCCGCGGGCCTTGAGTTTGACACTCCTGCTCTAAAAGAATGCAAATGACCAGTTGTCTGCAAGGAGTATAAATCCTTCCATTACCCACCATCCAGTCAGAGCTGAAGAAGCTCCTTGGATGAGAAGCAAAATGTCTTCAAAAGAACCCACAAAAAAAAGTCATGTTGCCTCTTGAAAAAAAAACACCTTTGGGACAACCATGACCCAGAGGACTGAGAATCTCCATAGACGTTTTCATTAGAGTTACCAAATTGGTCTTTGTTAACCACACACTTCCAAGCGGTGTCTGTGGAAAATAATGTACTGACAAGTACCCAAAAGGGACGGTCCTGTTTTAAATTCCATACGTCATCATGAACGATTGTAAATATTGATAGCACCGATGGTCAGTAGAAATATGTAATCCGTTAATCCTGACAGGAAAGTTGTAACTTCTATGGTTCTTCCTCCTATTTATTCTCCAGTAAATGTAAAACCTTATCAGGAAATTACTACGTAGCATCTTTCATAGTTAAAGACCAGAAACATTTTTGTCTCTGGATAAAAAAAAGTCTCTGAGATTATTTTCTTACACAAGAAGTTAATTTATTTATATCCTATGCTTTTATAATATGAAATGGGAATAGCTACACCTACCTTTATTCATAAAACATGCAGCAAGAATTTGCTTGCTCTTCCTACCTGCTTGGAAGAAAGATCAACTGACTTACCTCTGGTGCTCCAGCAATTTTCATTTGCAGCATTCCTTTTCTGTCCTTGTCTTCATTAGTTGAATACTGAATTGTCTGTACTTGATGGAAATCTGCCAAATGGGTAGGCTAGAGAAAGATAGAAGGGAAATATAAGGAGGAAGAATCAGTGTAGATGCAAATCAGTGATGGGTTTCAAATTTTTTTAGAACCTTTTCTGTAGGTGTGGCCTGCTTTGTGAGAGTGGCTTGCCGGCCATGTGACTGGGTGGGCGTGGCTTGGCAATCATGTGACTGGATGGGCATGGCCAACTTGTAAAATGTGGTGAAACTCACTTAACAATGCTCTTGCTTAGCAACCAAAATGTTGCCTTGGAAACTCTGGCATTTGAAGCACGCAAGTCTTAAAGCTGTCAAGTTACAAGGCCCTTGTACCCCTAACCCTTTAGAAAAAAAACCCAGGGGTGTTCAAACTTGACAGCTTTAAGACTTGTGGACTTCAACTCCCAGAATTCCTCCTCTCGCTCTTCATCTTGATGATGGGCGGATGAGCGGGGGGAGGGAACTGGAACCAGTTCTAAACAGCACTGTAGATTTGTGGAACCTCTTCTATAGAAGAGGTTAGAACTGGCAGGAACCCACCCCTGATGCAAATTCTATCAGATACAAAATACAGGATGCACAAATACATTTTTATTTTTCTGGGCATTCTGTACTTTATTACCTCTCATTGTTATCCGCGCCCTATGTCCATCTTATGTACCACTGAAGTGGGGGTGGGGGGCAATTAATAGTTGGCAATAGTTTGCTTGATCAGAATGCTGTTTAGTGACAGTAATATTGGCCAGGAGTCCACATGAAAACTGACTATAAACCTACACAGGAATATAAATAATGCATTCTGGGGATTTGATCAGCTTCCAATACATAAAGTATCTTAATGGTAAAGGTAAAGGCTTCCCCTGTCCAGTCGTGTCAATTCTAAGTGGCGGTGCTCATCACTGTTTCTTGGCTGAGGGAGTCAGCGTTGTCCGAAGACATTTTTCATGGTCATGCGGTGAGCATGGTTATATGCCAAAGGAATATATATATATTCCTAATATAACACAGAAAGCTGTACCTTCCCACTGAAGTGTGACCTATTTATCTACTTGCATTTTCATGCTTTGAACTGCATGGTATCTATTTATCTACTTGCATTTTTATGCTTTTGAGCTGCGTGGTACCTATTTATTTACCCACTTTTTCATGTTTTCAAACTGCATGGTACATGATTTTTTGTATCCTGATTTTAAAAAAACTTCCTTAAAAACACTGGACCGGTTCCCACACAAAGTAATGGCAAATGTAAAAGTCTGCTTAGATATGAAGTCATCATATCCCAATAATTAAACTTACATTAGAGCCTTTGTCTGTAAGATAGCTGATTCCTTCTTCTGGACCGATGGCCAATTCCACTGAAATAATCCAGCTAGACTTTTATAGTTAATATAGAAAAGAAGCAATAAATATTTGGAAAGAAAATGTTTGAACACTGAATAAAGATCTTTATTATCACTCAATGGAACAAATTGATACTAGACTAATACATTACATTTCAAACACTGGATAAACCTTTATAGAGTACACATATTAGCCTTTCACAAGCAAGTGGTCTCCCATACATTTGGGCCAGAAGCTCTGATGATGATGTGTTTTTCAGTCACTAGGATTCTTGCTTCAATCTTGGGCAAAATGGGTTATATGTTGCGGTTTGTATTTTAAACTTGATTTTAATCCAGATCCACTATTGTAAGATGGGCAGCAATATAAATAATTTAAATAAAATAAATATCCCTGAGCGATAACTCCCAACATCTTGAGAGGCTGCCTCATTTTAAAAACAGAAGGCACAAATGCTTCAATGGTCATTGCAATGTGCCACACATGGGCTTGACCATTGCACATTTTTTTCAAAATGAAATCATTTCCCCAATCCCTCTAATAGGGAGCAGAAACACAACAGGTGAGACATAGTTACCCATTTTCCACTACTATTGCTCTAGCTAGCCTTTAAATTGCATTTAAACTCACTATGGCCATTTTAAAATAATTCCACATCTCTATAACCCCTTTAACCTAGTTAGCAATTCCTAAACTCCCGATCTATCAGAAATGTAAAATAATTAAACAATTTAAAAATATATAGTACACAACATCATATGCAAATAAAGAAAATTTCGTAGCCCAAGATCCAGCCCATCTGTCTTCTGTCCAGATAAGCTAACAATAAAGGGCTAAACTTAACATTAACAATTAGAATTATTCTGTATCATGTCCCAGTAGTTGAAAGCAACATACTCACTCCAAGGGCACACTTGAAGCATTCCTTATCGAATCGGTATACTGGTGAGAGAATCTCAAAGAATTTCAAAATACTTTCTTCTCTATTGAGATTGGCAAATTGTCGAAACGTTTGCTGAATCATTTTTCGAAGATTTTTGGCCTTTATAATGAAATAGTCAGATGTTAGTATGCATCACATCCAAGCCACATAGTACCAAGATGGTTCCACCTAGCCTAGGAACTAATAGAAAGCACTGGATACAATACCACATATCTTTAGTTTTTGAGTTTTTAAGTCCTTAGAAAAAGAACATCTCATTTTTAAGAAATGTCATATACGTGGATGAATCACAATAACATACTTGGGTGATAGCCAAAAATGGAATGATCAAAACTCAAGGTCTAATAATTTCTCATGTATGAGCAGAATGCAATATTACCTTTACTGAATCCAGTAAACTCTTTGGAAAAAATCTTCTCAAACCGACATCTTTCCTGAAATAAGCAAAGCAAAAATAAGTGATGCATGAAAAACGTTGTGATTTTAACTATGTGAAATAATAATACACTATATTTTAGAAGAATTGTTGTGTTAGGATATAAATGCAGATGCCAATATTCAATCAAATTCATTTTTTTTAAAAGCATTGTTATTCCCACTAAACTTTGAGTGTGCCCTGCCTTCCCAGCTCACCTCTCAAACCTTCAACCAGCCCTTCTCTAAACCAGTCAATCAGGGCCAAGTCATTCCATCCTTACATCTCTTACAAGTAATATAAGATATAAAATATATGTCCTTATTCTCTCCTGTCCCGATTTAATGTTCTGGTTAGTGGTGATTTGTTGCACTAGAGCAGAGATGGCTAACCTTTCTATTGTTGCATGCCAAAAGCACACACACGTGCTTGCAATGGCACACGTGTGCACCTGCACCCATATTGCAATGTGTACATTACACACACTCCCCACGTGCACCCTGCCCCCCCCCCCACATTATGCAGGTGGACATGACGCCCCGTTTTGGGCCTGGAAGTCCTCCTGCACCAACCTGAAAGCCAAAACGTGTCGCGGGGTGCTGCATGAGACCCCAAAATGCAATGTGGGTGCCCCCCTGTGCATGCACCCCATCCCCTAGCACATGCATGCATCCCCCACATGAACCCCGCACATGCACGGCAGAGACCCAAAGACCCACTGGCCAACAGAAGGTGCGCACACATGCACGGTGGAGCTGGGCTGGGGCAATGGCTGGAGTGCCCGCAAAGAGAGCTCTGCGTGCCACCTGTGGCACGTGTGCCATAGGTTCACCGTCACCGTACTAGACCCACAAAGGATCCCTTGAAGTTAAAAATGCCGTCATGATGTATAATGATTTCCTGCTCATCACAAAAGCTTTAGCAACAAACCCTTTTAAATTCCAGGCACCCTTGTGATGGTACCAATTCATGAAAGCCAAAGAAAAGAAAACCACTCTTTAATGGCCATAGCAAAGCAGGTCCTTTTCGTGGGACTGGATGCAAAGCCCTCAAGCCCTCTGGTGAAAAGTGGTTAGAACTGTATTCTGCAGCCCATGCCAATGGCTTCTTAAGCCCACGCTGGGCAGTTTGTTCTGCTAACTGCATTCTAAGTTAGGACAGGGATAGCAGGATTAGAGAGACAAAGCCAGAGCCTGTAAATTTCCAGGAGCTAATCAATAATTAAACTCTCGGCATAATTTAGTCCCATGACTGATTAATCACATACCTAGAAACCATTTTGTAAAAAGGGCTTCTAACCAGCTGATCCCACAAGTATTAACAGAATGAAGATGACCCCCCTTCCCCCCAAAAAGGAGGATCCTATGTATTTCCAGTCAGCCTATGAATCACCCAATTTGTCTTGGTCAGGCCAGAATCAATGAGCTCTTATTTCCTCAATAAGCTCAAAGGTCAAAATTTTACTAGGTTTTTACAAATTCTCACCTTAATTAGAATAATGATGGCAATCTTTGCATTTTTACTTCCAAGAGCAACAATTGTGTTCCTTCCAATGGAACGAATTCCTGACAAAAATGCAACCACATACTTACTCTAAGACTTCATAGTTTGACTTCTTATCCAATGCGTTGCCTCTCATTTCGCAGTATGATCTCCTGAAATTATAAAAAAAAGGGCAGTGCTCTCAAATGCTAAGCCGAAATCACGCCAAATGCTTGATTTCAAATCTGATGTTAATTATACTTCGGCTTTTATCTGTTATTTCTGAAACCTGCCTTGAATGCTTATATAATCAGAAAGGTGGGGTAAAATGTATTTACTTACCTTACCTAGGAAATTCCAAACTAAATCATAGATGAGTGGGAACATTCAGAAACATGCCTAATAAGAGCCCCCTGTTCCTGGACTAAACAGACAGGAAATCAATCATTATAAAGTTTTAAAAACTTTATGCATATTTCTGAAAGTCAAACTTTTGGAGGGAGTTGAAAGTCCGTGTTGCCCAGCGACAGCCCCAAAACATCACTGCTCTAGAGGA